CGGGCAGGCGGTGCAGGTGGTGGCCGCCCCGGAGCAGGTGGCGCAGGCAGCGCTGCATTGCTTGCAGACCCCGGCGCTGGCGAAGTAGCCCGCCGGGCAGGATGCCACGCAGGTGGCCCCATGGCGGAGGTAGCCACTCTTGCAGGCAGTGCAGTTGGTGGTGCTGCCGGTGCATGCGGAGCAGCCGGTGCTGCAGGCCAGGCAGTTGCTGCCGCTGGCCATGTAGCCGGCCGAGCAGGCAGCCACGCAGGTGGTGGCCTGGAGGAGGCGCCCGGCCGGGCAGCTGGTGCAGGCGGCCGCGCTGCCGGCGCAAGTGGCACAGGTGCTGCTGCAGGGCAGACACGACTGGCCGCTGATGAAGTGATTGCCGGGGCAGGCGGCCACACAGGTGCCGCCCTGGAGGTATCGCCCGGCCGGGCAGGCGGTGCAGTTGCCGGAGCCGCTGCCATAGCACGAGGCGCAGGCGCTGCTACAGGGCAAGCAGGAGCCCCCCTCGCGGTAGTAGTTCGACGAGCAGGCATACACGCAGGCGCCATTCTGCAGGTAGTAGCCGCTGTAGCAGGTGTTGCACCGGGAGCTGGACTGGCAGCGGTAGCAGTTGCTCGGGCAGGAGTAGCACGAGTAGTTGCTCCAGAAGTAGCCACCTTCGCACTCGTGGCAGTCATAGTAGTTGTAGCAGTCGAAGCAGCTGCGCTGGCAGGAGTAGCACCGGCCGGAGGAGAGGTAGTACCGGTAGTGGCACTCGACGCAGGAGGTGCCCCGGCTGTTGTACCTGTAGCAGCCGGTAATTTGGGCGGCCATGTGGGACCCGTCGTCGGGGGGGGGGCTCACCGGGACACAGGTGACCGGCTGGCCGATGGCCAGCTCCATGTCGGCCGGGCAGGCCACGCAGCCGTGCTGGTCGCACGTGCCCGGGCAGGAGGCCGGGCAGGGGGCCGCGTCGGCCGCCTCGGCGTCCCAGTCGAAGGGCAGCCCGTGGCGCAGGGCGAGGACCATGCGCCGGTCGCCGGCGGCGTCTTCCAGCGCGCCGGCCGCCGCCCGCGCCTCCTCCCGGGACATGGACGCCACGCGGGCACTGGTCAAGGGGGGCGTGGGCGGGGGGTGGCCCGGCGTCGGGTGCGCCGCCGATGCCAGCCCCGCGAGCAGGAGACCGCACAATGGCAGCAGGAGGGCCGCCATGCGCCGGAGGCTGGGCATCGGCAAGTGGCCGGTGCCTGGAGGCCGCATGGTAGAAATGTAGGCGATGTGTTGCGGGCGGGGTGGGGCGGGGTGGGGCGCGGCGGGGCGCGGCGGGGCGGTGGGGAGGGTCAGGGCGCCTGGCCGGGGGCCTGTGCGGGGTGGGCACGCGCCGATATATCCCCAGCCTGGGGCCGGGCGGCGGCCGGCCTTCCGAGCCGGGGCCAGGTGCTCTGGCCTGGGCGCGCCCGCCAGCACAGGCGAATTGCGCACCGGCGCCTGGCGAGTCGATGCCGTGGCCAGCGCACGAAAAAGGGAGCAGCCCTGCACCGGGCACGGACGCCCCGGGCCAAGGTGGCTACCAATCAACGGCGGGGCCGGGGGGGGGGGGGGGGGGGGGGGGCAACACAGGCGGTCGGGGCCCCGGCTGGCGGGCGCCCCAAGCGCCGGGGCCTTGCTCGCATGGTGAGTGGTGGCCGAGCACCCGGGCCCGACCTGGGCCCGCCATGGGCATCCTTTTCAATTCGGGGGGGAGGGGGGGGGGAGATCAACGCCGGTTGTCGACCGGCTGGCCTGGCGGTCGGGTGTACGCCTGGCGGGCCTCAGGCCGGGGCCACTGGCTGGGGAGATGGCCCGGCGAGGGCCGGCGCTTCGGTGCGGGGGGCACGAACCGCCCGAGGGGCGCCGACCGGCCGGTGGACCATCGTAGGTAACACACGCAGGCAGGGGCAGGGGCAGGGGCACGGCGGGTCAGGTCATCCGGGCGAATGGCGCCAATGAACCGAGCGGCCGTCGGGGCGGCTCGGTGTCTCGGAGCACACCGGCCCGGCAGGCGGAGGCCCGGGCATGCGGCCGGGCGCATGAGAAGCTGACCATGGCCCAGGCGCGCGCCTGGCCCCGGAGGTCGGTGTCTAATGACCCGGGCGAGGGGCAACACGCTTCGGCCGACCCCGGCGCCGCCGCGAGCCGGGTCTTCCCGGCGGGCGAGAGGCGG